TACGTTGGTTTGTAAAATGAATACGTCTCTTGGTAAAATGAATATGTTCTTTTATATAATGAATACGTTACATGGTAAAATGAATATGTTGATTTGTAAAATAAATATGTTACTTTGTAAAATGAATACGTTGTTTAGTAAAATGAACATGTTTCTTTGTAAAATGAATACGTTTCTTGGTAACATGAACATGTTCCTTTACAAAATGAACACGTTTCAAGGTAAAATGAACATGTTTAACACTAAATATTTGTCTTAACAGAGAACTAACACAAAAAAATAACTAACATGTTTATCAAACCGAACAAACAGAGAACTAACATTAAATCTATCAAAGTTGTTCATTTATCACTCGATTGTCTTTTCAGCGAAATAATTACTCAAATCCTCTCGGACAACATCTGATTTATTGTTTATTGGAGATTCGATCAATTTGGCCAAGTACTTCACCCGCAGAGTGTCCAACTTGTTCTTCATGTGGACCTTTTTCCTCTGAAATGGACAATATAATGAACATCAGTTTAACTTGTAATATGCAACTCAAGTAAGATCTTGAAAATTTAGGATGAAAAATGTTACCGAATCACTGCCTATCACAGGGAATGCGCAATCATGGCCATCTGCATGCACACAAACATATTTGGACATGTGATGCATCGCATATATTGCGCAGTCCGTTGTGTTTGTTGAATCTGCGCAGTGCATGTTCACCAGTTTAAAGATAAGCTTGTTGAACGCGCTCTTGAAGGGTTTCTTGTATGTTTTTTTGTACTCTCCAATGACCTTTTTCTGTTTGTTGATGCCAGAATTAATAATTGTTTTTGTTAAAAAATAAAAAAAAAAACTATATAGAATGTAAGTTGAAATAGGCAAGTCTTACCAAGAAATCTTTAGTTCCACCATACTTGTTTTCCATTGGCACTTTTCCACTCAACACTGTATCCATGTTATCAAGAATGCCCAGCCTTTTATTTTCAAAGTCCAAACAGTACAGGTAAAAATGGGTCTGATAATAGACTGGAACAATAAGCTGAAAAATAGAACAGACCAATGCAAGATGAACATGTTTAACACTAAGATGAGTATGTTTCACAATGAGATGAACATGTTATATTTACTCACATGGCTGATATTCTTGATATCATGTTTCGAAAGCCCTTCTTGTGTGAACTCGGCATCCATCCTCGCAGCTGCATCCCTCACATATTCCACCGGATCTCTGTTACTCATAGCTTGCAAGGACAATCCCACCTAGAAAGTATGTCAAA